TCATTTTTACCCCTTCCTGGGGGAAGTCTCTCTAAACCCCTTGATCTTGCATTTGCCTCTCCCTGAACCCTTTCCAGCCTTTCTGTGGAGAGAGGCACAGTGTTCTTTGGACAGTGGCCATAGGAGAAATGCCGATTACATGATGGCCACAGGCACTGCCTGTTCCCTGCAAATAGCACACAACAATGACAGAGGGATGCCACAGGGGCCGACTGGCTCCCCTCTTGCTGTGGGAACCTGTTTGAACATATTTGGGATCATGAAACCAGCTAGTATGGTTAACAGATGTAAACCTTACCAAAGACCTGAACCATAATTAAGTCTTGGAAGACAGTTAAGTGCCTGAAAAGTCATAGCCAGTCTATCAATACCATCCCAGTGTCCTCAAAATAAGGTACTTATTTTGAAGACAGTCATATTAACAAGAAGAAGCTTTAAGACAAAGGGCATTTACATGTATTGGAAGAGAGGAGAGTGGAATTTTTCATTTGGATTATTATCTTTTTAAAAATCTGCCTCATGTTTCCAGATCTAAAAGTAGTATTGACAGAAAATTCTACATAAAATGTACTGCAGCAAACTTGTATGATTGTCTCTTTGATATACAATGATTTACTTTTAGTAGTGATTCTTTGTCTCATCAAATTTAAGCCTCTAATCACAAAGTACTAACTCCTACACTAATGAATGTTCTACTATAATCTTTTTTTCCTCTGCTAATGTAGAGTTCTTAAGGCTTTTGGTCTTAAGCCCTGTACAAGATGCAAATAATGCAGAGAGGGAGCATACTGTTTGTTATTATCAGTAGATATAACAGAGAAAAAAATAAAATGTTAGGAAGGATTGATTGTTAGTAGAGGATAAAAACGGGATTCAGAAGAGGCCATGGAGAGGCAAAGACACAGAGCAAGGAAGAGTGTGTGTATGTGTGTGGGGGGTGTGTGTGTGTGTGTGTGTGTGCCTTGAACTTTGACACTTTTAAAAAGGAATTGAAGAAAAACCCTCCTCTTCCTTCTCTTCAAACACTTCACAGTTTTGCCACAAGTTAGCCTTAGTACTAAGGTCCCTTAGAACTTGCCCGCCAACCCACCCTACCCTTAGTCAATTTGTAAACTAAGAAGAAGGCACAAGAATAATAGATTGGTTCCAAGAAACACCACCCCACTCGGATCAGTCCACAGGTTATCCATTTCCAGGACACTCTTGGGGGTCATTACTCCCAGGAAGGGAATCATTGCATTCGAGCCTATGAGAAGCCAAGAATGCCTTCCTGATGAAACAGCAGCCAGCATGCCAGCATGCCAGCAGATTGGGATACTGTTCTGGGACAAAGGGGAACACACAGTGGTTATTCTGAGAATGCTAGAAAGTCATGATTACCCCACAGGTTGGCCCTGAAAATTTAAGGAGTGTGTGTGGGAAATGCAGAAGAAAAACATTTTATTGATATAATTTTCCTTTGTATTTAATTACAACTGGTAATTCTTTTCTAATTATCATCACCTGACCCAACAAAGAGCAGAAAAAAAAAATATTTGTGCTTGATTATATGCATTGTTGTTTTCCTTAGGATAGGGGAATGGTGGGGTGAATATTGAAAAGGAACCAGAAGCCATAAACTAGGCCGTATTCTTGGCCTGACGGAGACAGGAGGTCTGGAGCAGTATCACAGTCATCAGTGAAACAGCCATGATCCTTGGTCTTCCATAAACTGGTATCCTCCAAATTGTAAATATCGACATGGTTTTTCCAAAAGAAGAGAGTAAATACCATTGTGTTGGTCAGTCTTTTTTCCTTAAAAAAACGTTAAGTTTCAGCAGACATACAATATGATGGTATTTTCAACTCTTTTTCTATTCTTTCTTCTTTAAAAAGTAAGGTTTCTTTGTGTGAGATTCCTTTGATTTTTATTTTTGAGGCAATTTCTATAAATAAGCTGAAACATTGCTCTGTGAATAATTCTCCTCTCAACTAAAACAGCTCATTCATTTCGGTTGATATTGGCAAGGAAATATTCACCTGTTTCATCTTGATTAGTTATTTCCATAAACTGAAAGAATGAAGAGTGCCTCAAAGATACTTTATGTCTCAGCAGATCATTAAGTAAAAGAGAAAAATGTACAAAAAAGAATGCCATCTTGTGGCTGTACCACTAGAATGATAATAAAACGAACTTTATTACCCTAGAAAGTAATGCTATGGTGAGTCCAAACAGGGGGCTTCACATTCTAATATGAGTCCCTGAGATATCAGTCCACAGTGAAAGGGCCACAGCCTATTCCTACATGAATATAGATGCCATGTTGTCCTTGGAACACAAAGAGAATGACATTGTTCCATCTGTTCCCTAGAACCAAGTATCCCTGGGAAGGCAAATTATTTCTACCAAAGATTCTAATTCACTTTGGGCAATGCCACTGGGTGTGATATTGACTGGTCTAGGAAGCCAAATAGAACTGATTTCAAGGTGATTAAGGGAAGGGCCAGGATCACAGATTTTTGAATTCAGAAGAAAGCTGCTTTCTGGTGGTAGCCTAAAACAAAGTCAACTTCTTGACACAAATTTACTACCCCAATTCTTGAAAATAAGAATTTAGAACACAGCAGTTAACGAATATGAATTGTTTTGAGCCAAGTTACAGAAGAAGAAAGCTCAGTAAACATTTGTTATTTTAAAATGCTGATTAACAGCCGAAAGAAGAGTTTCGATAAACTCATGGTTTGTAGATCCATTGCTTATCATTAAGAAAAGCTGATGATATTTAGTATACATTTTGTGGTTGATGTCTACAAGATTAATGATATCCATCCACAGAACAAAAACTTAGTTTTTAATGCTGCAAAAGGCCAGAAAGCTCATCTAGTTTAGTCTCTTAATTTAATAGAGAAAGAAAACAAGATCAAGAGAGGCCAACTGGAATCAAATCACACAGCCAGCTAATGACTGAACTAAATGCCAGACCTGGGGTACCCAACTTTCTCAATATCCTACTTAAAAATATATATACACAGATACATAGCCTTTTCTAAAAGATTCAAAATGTACATTATTATATAAAAAATTCTGAGGAATCATTCAGTAAAAATCTGTTCAACTTTACTAAGCTCAGCTTTTCCCAAACTTGTTCTATCATGAAGCCTTTTGTGCCACAGAACAATTATTAACGTCCCATACAACCAAATCATGAAAATGCTGCATCAAAACCTCATCTGAATCCATAATTATTCTATTTGGCCTGCTGGTTCATTTCTTCAACCTAGTTATTTCCCACTAGAAACGTGGGCAACAAATAAAAGTAGATTCTTAAGTAAAACCCCACAGAGCTTCACTCACTCAACCAGCTCATTAAAGTAACAATGAAATCCCAAGATTATATTTACACATATCTGCTGTGTAACCCAGAACTGATGGAGCCTTTGCAATTTTTTACATTTTCAAACCATTGGCCCACTTTTTCAAGGGCAGATAGCCATAGCATTACACATATACCAACTTATTTGAAGAGAATCAAAGCAATGTCTGTAGGCTTTTAATGTATCATTAAGAGTACATTGACCTTGAGCCACGAACCTTTACCTCTAAAATTTAGTAAGAAGAGATACAGCTTTATCCCCTGTAGAGATTCATCAAAGTTTTATTCTATCTTAAAACTTACTCATCAATTCCTGTGACATTGTCATTTTTGTCTTCATGAAATGGGAGTCGGATGGTATAAAAATTCTGTTTACTTATTTATTTTTAGACAGAGGGTAAGTAGAGGGAGAAACATCAATGTGTGGTTGCCTCTCACACACCCCCTACTGGGGACCTGGCCCGCAACTGAGGCATGTGCCCTGATTGGGAATCGAATCAGTGACCCTTTGGTTTGCAAGCCAGCATTCAATCCACTGAGCCCCACCAGCCTGGGCCAAAATTCATGTATTCTTAAGCGTTTGTATAACCTGGATCAAGCAAAACACAAATCTGGAGAGACAACATTTATATCGGCAGAAGGTGACAGAACCCTCTGTTAGGTGGACTGACACTACTCATTTCATTCCTCATGGCAAAATAATTTCTAGTAGAGTTATATATATGCCAACCAATACTAAGAAATCATCTGAGTTCCTTCGAAATGAGCATATTTCACACACTCTCAGGTATACACACACCCCCCAAACTCATAAACGCTTAAAAGGTATCTGGCATCCCCTTGGGTTTAAAACGGACCCAGCAACCATTTTCTGACTTAACAATTTTACAAGCGTTATATGCCTGTCAAGGCAAGATTCCGCCCAAGGCTCGTCTGTCAGCAATCTGTGTTCATGTTGATTTCCCATAGTCCAATCCTCTTGAGATAGCTGCTAAAGTAAATAGAAAAGTACCTGGATAAACTCATGTGATTATCACGGTCTAATATTGCTAAATTGAACACATGGTATAATTTAAAAGAAAATTACAGCTATATCTCCAATCAATGGATCGATGTCATGACTCATTTTATAATCAGCAATTCTTTTGACTTTGTTGATCTCCACTCCCAAATTGATATTGTTAGACTAAGGTAAAAAGGATTATTAGTTATTATCTGGCCCTTAAGACTGCTTCTGTGTGTGTGTCCATACCTATAATTGGCCCTGTGAGAACTGGAGGATAATAAGATTGTTAACAAGGAAACATCTCCACAGTTCCATATGAAATGTTCTGAATTTCAAAGAATTTCTAGAACTTGAAACAATAGCCTTTGAAAAGTGGTTTCTCCCTAATTATCTGCCTCACAGAAGAGCTAAAATCAACTTGATTGCTTTGTAAGTCTGATAAATTGGGGGACCAGCTGCCCCATATTTTAGTTCTTCTAAGACTGCTTGCAATCCAAGAAGTCTGAACAAAGCAGCAAGACTAACTATCATACTGAGGCCAGAGACTAATGGATCAGAATAAACCTTTCCAATATTATATGGTGGTTTACTGAAGACTTCAAGCTGTATGAGTGCAGCCTCTGCAAGAGATGCCACACCAGCCAGGTATCGTACAAGAGCCACGAATCTGCCAGTGGGCAAATAAACAGTAACCCTGGAAGAAGATGTCCCGGGGAACACTGTCTCGTGGCGCAACACTTCAGAGAAAGGCCTCCCCTACACCCATCATCCCTGTGCTACCAGAGAAAGGGATACTTAAGTGCTAGGTTTGAGGATGTAACATAGACCCTTGTGTCTGACCCCCATATCATTTTTTAAAAAATTAATACAAAGCATTTTCAATACATATATTTGACATTTAAAAAGTAGAAGTTTTCAGAATCTCCTGAAAAGTTGGAAGATCTGACCAAATTGGTCTGAAGTTTTCACATTCCAAAATCTTGCTCCAGATGAGCTGCGCCTTCCTGCTTCCGATGGGGCATTTGTTTCCAGGTCACCGGTTTCTCCTGGACCAGCTTTACTCTTTTCTCATCTGGGCCCCACAGGCATTGGAGTTTATAGCCCATGCTTTAGCTGAAAGGGGCAACAGAAGAAGAAAGACATGTTTCAGAAATAAATGATTCAGACTTCAGCTCTACACTTGACCAACTCCTTAGGTAAACTTTCAGAATTGTATCTACTTCATATTTGAAAATCCCAGGTTATGGAGAATTTCACTGTCATGAGAATATAAATACATGAGTTTTAAACATATAGATGATCTTGTTTTCAGGAAAACAATAAAAGAGAGCTTATATCTAAATTTAATTTAATAGTATAGTTTCCAGGAGCCCCCCCAAAAAATGTATTCATTAGCTAGAGAAAAATAAATGTCTATTTTTCTAGTGTTGAGGTGAAGGAAACAGGGAAATATAGGCTAAGCAGAAAGCCAAGATCTTCTTTTGGAAGGGAAAATAAACCAGAAGTGACGTTACCTTTTCTAAGCCTTCATTAGATGAAAAGAAATCAATAACCCTTGTTTTACTTACAACTTTTTTTCATGCATAAATTTTTAATAGTGCTGGTAGAACAGGTTACCATATTACATTATTTGGGTAATGGATTTTATAACAGTAAAACAACTTTTCAACTGAATGGTTCATAGTATTTTAAGATTCAAACTAGTCTTCAAAAAATAAAGCGTATGAATGATTAAGCAAAAAAAAAAAGCTAATTAACAAATTAATACACCTAACAAATATTTTTTTAATTGAGCACTCAGTAATTTAGACCCTGTTCTGCATACTTGGGATTGGGTGCCTAAATTTTACATTTTAATAAGTTTAACTGTTAATAGGAATTTCAGCCTGATGGCAAGTGTCTCAGGTTTGAATCTCCAAAGGAAAATAATTCTATTACTATATTTGGAGCAAGATTCAATATGTGGGTAATTTGGATCCTTTGTTAGTTTGATTTGGTATTTTTTTACCTTAATTTCTAGTGAGACTATTACAACCCCTTATCAAACTTATATTACTAAAACCATAAAACCAATATCTAGACAATATTGGGAACAAAATATTAGCTATAATGAAGACATATATTTCCCATGGTGGTTTTATGTAAGTGGTATAATATTTTAGATCTTTTTCTTTTAGTTGTTGCTGCAATGAGTTTTATCTGCTGTATAGGATGTTTGAAATATTCCAAGACACCCATAATAAACATTTTGTATTCAATTTTAATTGTCTAGAGATTTTTAATGAATGAAATCAATAGGTAGGCTATGCTGACATATTTAAGTAAATTTGGTTTCAATGTTTCATTTGTTTGGTCTGAACTTCAGGGAGCTCTTTCAATATGACTCTGGATTTGCTTTTTGCAACTCTGCCATCTATAAAGTACTGAGTTAAGATAAAGGTGGAATGTTGATTGGTTCATGCTGTATCAAGCAGATTATACTCAGGTATCAGAAGTGTTCATTGCTAAACCACTGACGGGCGAGTTTGATCTGTATTCAATTGGCATGTTCTACAGGAGGGTTACTTGGAATGTACAAAGTTGGGCGAGGAATAATAAAGGCTCCTCTCCTAAGTTGAAGTGGTCCACACATGCTTCCATCTCATCTTTATTTTTAATAGTTTATTTTTTATTGTATTTTTTTCTACTTATAACTTTTTTATCCAAAAGCCCAAGAGTCCTGTATCATGGTGATCTTAGATCAGAAATGTGTATCTTATGCTAGTTTCTCTGCCTCTCCATACTTTGATTTCAAGTGACAGCTGTGTTGGATTTGCTCATGCATTTATTTCTTAACTTAATGCTAAGTGAAATCAGATGAGGAAATAAAGTCATTGTAGAAAGATCTCAAAGACTGCCAAAAGCCTTTCAACCTTGTTATAGAACCCACTTTGATTTCCTAAAGTCTAGCTCAAAGCAAAGAATTTTACTGTTCTATACTTTTTAAACTTATTTATTTATTTATTTTAGAAAGAAAAAGGGAGAGAGAGAAAACCATTGAATTTTTGTTTCACTTATTTATACATTCATTGGTTGACTCTTGTATGTGCCTTGACAGGGGATTGAACCCACAACCTTGGCATATCAGAATGACACTCTAACCAGCTGAGCTAGTCAGCCAGAGTGTACTATACCTTTTTATTTTATTTTATATACTCAAGTTTATATACTTCTAAAAATATGTAATTTCAACAGCAACCAGAATTAAAGTCACCATTTACAAATCTTTTTCTTGAGAATAGACTTGTAACAGATTTTTTAAGTCTTATTGACTACACTGTAAACCAAAGATTATAGACAGACATGGTCTGTTTTAGCAGAAAATATTCTTTTAACATAAATTTTACTCTCCATTTGTTCACACTGTTGTTACTACTCTCTATTTTCTTACATTGGCTTTGCATCTCTCACTTGTGCTACTTTGCTATCACCAAAGCATGTAGGTTCATGACCCCTGAACGATCAATGAATATACATACTGTTCACCACAATTAAATTAGAGGCAGACTCATAAAGAGAACAAAAACTTTCTGTAATCTTTATTTTAAAAAGAAGTCACAGACTTTAAGAAACACATTGTGTCAGATCGTTGATTGATGTCTGCCCAAGCTGAGATACTTCAGGGAAAGTCTGGAGACAGTGTTGCTCACACATGAGCACATGCACATCAAAATTACCTGGAGGACTTACTAAAACACCAGCCCCTGCCTGCCCCTAACTTTCTGACAGGTTTCTACTTGATGCTGATGCAACTTATCTAGGGACAACATTTTAAAAACTGCCTGAGTAAGAAATACCTTGAGACTTGACATAGTTGTAAAAGAAAGTAAACTGTCAAATTTATTTTTCAAGTCATGTCAAGTCACATGCACACACACAGAGAGAACCTTTATTTTTTTATTAAATGATTTTAAAAAATTTTTGATAGGACTTAGTGAAGCAGTAATGATAATGAACTGCTGGAAAGGAATAACTAATATTTGGAGAGGTGTAGAGAGATGGGATAGAAGGTGGTTTGAAGTTCAGGCTTTGTAAGCACAGGGTACACTGATTCGAGAGAAACCAATGTCTAACTAGACAACACCAAACAACGATGTGGTTTTAGACACTTATTTGCCAAGAAAATGCATACTACACAGGTCTGTGGTCTGGTTGTTAAAAAAAGAAATCATTATCAATTTGCTAGGAAAAACAAAAAACCTTTGTTATGTTCTTTCATCAAATGATGAATGAACAAGACATGAAAAAAAGTACAGTGCACTGAGTAGTTTTGTCAGTAATTATGCAACATGGCTGCAACATGTGATGCTTTACTAAGCCCTTGTTTTCCTCATTCTGCAAGTCCTTCTCCTGTAGGCAGCTCCCAGCTCACACACCAGCTGCCCCAAGGCCGGAGGTTTTCCAACAGGTTTTCCAGGGCCAAATACTGAGTCAGATTTTTCCTTTCCTGTCACTTTATTCTAAGATGCTTAATCAGAAGGTTATTAATGCTTTCACTACCTGGGAATGGCTTTCTCCTAAAAAAAATAAAAATAAAAATAAAAAATCCAGTTGGTCACTGTTAAGCAAAATTATTTCAGGGGGTGCGTTTCAAATGCTTCTTAGTAGCTAAATTTCTTAATGTGACATCAAAAAAACACTCAGATATGGCTTCAAAATGTAACATTGAGCTCTGCCCACACTTGACTCTGGGTCTGCTTTCCTTGAGATAATGCATCATAAAGCTTTACTTTCTGCTTTAACTCCAATTCACTTCTATGACCTGGCATGATTACAGAACATGCCACTCTTTTTTCCTCAAAAATTTACCTTGTCACTGAGGCCTTAAAGTTACTAAGATTAATGAGTTGTCACTGCTGCTGCTATTATTCTTAAACCTCTTTGGGTTTCTGGATGGAAGTCACCACTGAAGTGCCCACTGTTTTATTTTTCCTTTTTCTGTCTAAACTGAATTTATGTTGATGTGGCTTTTTAAATTTAAAAACCAGTCTTCTAAGGGGTTACTTTTGTGGGGGTTTTTGCGTTATCCCTAAATCCCAGGACCGTGAAGCAATGTCTCTAAGCTTGAAAACATTTTAAATCATCACTTGCTAGAGACCTGTACTAGACAAACACCAGTCACGCTGTCAGAGCTCCCCCAGAGTCCTCACCGTAGCGCTGGCTCCTGCAGTGCAAGCGCAGGATGTGCAGTCAAGATTGGCAGGAAAATAAACGCATCAGCTCAGCCTGCGTTAGAAGACAACGAAGAGGGAGGAGGAGGAGGAGGAGGACTAATGAGCATCTTGCACCAATCGGAGCAGATCAGTGTGCGTTAACTACGTGAATATATAGGGCCATGGGATATAAAAATGTAAGCACTGTAGATCTGGGCAACCGCATAAATTAGATCTAAATTGTTTACTCTGAGAGTACCATGCTCTCTCCCTGTTCATCAGGCTTAAAATACACACACTGCAAGACAGCACTTGCTATAGCAAAAAGACTGTACAACCTAACATAGTAATCTTCAGGCTCAAAAGGAGACTGCCTGGGTTCAAGTTCTGACACCGAAAAAACGTCTGACTGAAGCTTGTTCCTTGACCTCACCAAATCTGTTTCCTCATTTGTGAGCATGTAATAATCACAGCTACTGAAGAGAGCCATCGTAAAGATTCAATGAGCTAACACATGCAAACCACGAGAACAGTACCTGGCATATGCTTCAGAGCCCTGGGTCAAGAATTTAAGTTTTGCTGAGCTGGTGACCAGCTGTGAGAATTGGGGCAAGTTCATCTTCATGAGTCTCATTTCACACATCTGGATGTGTCTACCTTTCATGACAATCAAGTGAGATAAGGTAGTGCATAAGAAAGCACTATTAAAGTCAGTCAGAGAAAGACAAATACCATATGATTTCACTGATATGTGGAATCTAAAGAACAAAATAAACAAACAAAATTGAAACAGACTCATAGACACAGAGAGGGAACTGGTGGTTGCCAGAGGAGGGGGAGTTGGGAACTGGGATTTTGGAAGATGGGAGAGGGGTGGAGAAATGGGTGAAAAAAGTGAAGGAATTACGAAGTACAAATTGG